ATTTTTTTGACTCAGCTTTCATCGAGAAATAGCTCAAGAAGGGCGGAAAACTCCCAAAGAAAGTAGTTACTTGCAGCCATAGTAATTTTGATTCAAGCTATAGTGTTGTATACTTCCATATTCACAATTTACTTCTAGTAAAAGCTCAAGATGCAGGAGTCCTCGTAAGAGCTAAAAGCAGCAAAAAAATGAAGAGCCATGGAGCGTACAGGTAATGATAGTACCTTATTGTTTCGTCTGAGCTCGAACCAATCCAACAAAAGTATGTTAAGTTTCCTTTCAGGTGTACATTTTTTAAAATTTGCTTTAGTTTATTGAACTCCTAAGCAATTAGACAAAAATGTAATTGAGTGAAAAAGTAAAAAAAGCACACACGCATTGCAAATCAGAAAAAAACACATTTTAAATTTTTTCTTTAGGTTGAAATATCAAAGGCTGCAGAAGTTAAAATAACCAGTACCTCATGCAGCTGTGAGGCAGGAGTAGGGCTCTGCAATCATGTAATAGGGCTGGTATACCTCATTGAACATTACAGAAAAGTTAGTTTGAAAAGTGTACCTCCTGCCATGTCCAAAACAAGTCTTCAACAGACATGGCATGTTCCACAGAGGACAGCAGGAATCAATCCCCGCAGTGTACAAGAGGTGCTAGTGCAGCAGGTAAAACCTCCAAGCAGTGATGCTCCAGCAAAAAAGACAGTACGCAGGATAGATGGGGTACAGCCCAATTCCAGAACATATTCGGGAACCCAAAATTATTGATTCCCTGAAAGACATATTCAAAGAATATGAAGACATGCAAATAAATAGCATTATTCCCGAAACTAACAGATTAGACTTTGTGGATAGTAAACTGGGAAAAGTACCTTGTGGCTCAGTTATCTCATACCAGCAGCGCCAAAACACAACAAATGATCCCCAAATTCACATCAACATTGATGGATCAGAAAATGTACCAGCTTTTGATGTGCCATCACTTGGAAACTATTATTCATTTGTTCCCACCTTGGAATAAAAAAACTTTATTGAAGGACTCAGTGTCTCACTAACGCAATCTTGCTTATATGAGGAAGAGACCAGGGAGCAGTCCGACACACAGAAGTGGCATGACTTAAGGGCACAGAGATCATCTTCCGGCAAATTTAAAGATGTGTGTAAACGAAGGGCTGACTTTGAATCACTGGCAGTCAGGCAACTGAAGAAGACCGTGCAAACTGCAGCAATAAACCATGGCATAAATACTGAAGAAGAGGCAGCTTCTGCTTATGCTGACAGTGGAGATTGTAATGTTTTCCCTGCCGGGATTGTTATCAACCCATCTTGCCCACATCTGGCTGCCTCTCCAGATTGAAGAGTCTATGATCCCTCTGAAAACAATCCCTGGGGGTTGCTGGAAATCAAGTGCCCTGTTAATTTCATCCCGAGCGAATTTTTGTGCAGAAGGTTCAACATCCTGGGGGGGGACTCCCTTATAAAAGACGGGGGTGCTCGTCGAACATTTTGAAAAGAACCCCTAAGTGGTACTGAGATCCTGTTTAGTGGGTGTGGCTTAGCAGTTTTTTTCCTCCCCTTAGAGGTACTTATTCTCATGAAGACATGATTCGGCATGATTGATCATCGCAGCTATAAACACAACTTAAGCAGTTGTGAAATTAAAGTCTAAAAGAAAATTCAGACCATAATTTCACAACTGCCTAAGTTGTTTGTATAACTGCGATGATCAATCATGTCTTGATCTCTTTCTCTGTAGTTCAAATATTTGGTATTTCTTATGTTCATTTGCACTAATTCTTACATAACACATAACACATAATCTCAAGTCATATTTTTTCGGCTCAATGCCCTAAAAGGTACTGCGAAAGCTACCGCTGTGGACCTTTTGACACAAAGCACCCTAAGAGGAACTGAACTGCGCTTTTGTGACAATCGAGCAACCCCATCATTTTTATATGGGCTATGGAAGGAATTTCTGCCCATTGTAAAGGTAAAGGACCGTGTCCAAAATGTGAAAGAGGGTTGGGAAAGAAGGGGTCAGAGGTAATCTTACGCAAAATTG